GCAGTTAAACCCTAAAATAACATGACCCATTTAGGAAATTACAAGAATTTGAATGGCTAGAGTGAAAGAATACTTGCTGAAGAAGTGATAGGAGATAAGGCAAAGTCCAAACGTGAAGAGCTTTCTGTTTTAAGCTAAAAATAACTCTAGAGGCCAGCTATGAGACTCTCTTTCCCCCTTATTTGGTATGGCCTAAACTAGGAGATAGACTTCTGTGTCTTCAAGAGACCAATAGAGGAGAAATAGTCCTATAATTCCCTGCCTAAAAATAGAATTCATAATGGAGCTGCTATAGTCAAATATAAACAACAAAAAGGTAAATTGAGGTCAGAGATGCTATAGCCTTATTTATTCACTCTCTGTGAATCAACAGGATATTTAGAAAAGCAATGATAGTGAAAACACTATCAGAACCTTGGAATATAGCTAAAGCACAGCTTAGATGGTAATTGAAAGCTGGGCGATGAGTGATCCAGGGCCCAAATTCCATCTCACTGCCTGCTTTCTCACACCACTCCCAATACCAAGTGTGTCCATTCAAGTTCTCTGGTAAGCAGACAACAAAATGGAGTTAGAAGGGCAAGAAACTTATTGGGGCAGGACTTATGAAAGATAAAGCAGATTTAGGAGCAGCAGTAGGTAACTACATCAGACCACAGAGTGGCTCATGTATCTATGAAAGGAGAGAGGGGAAGAAGGAAGATTGGGTAGAAATAGATTTCAGAAAGTCTTGGCCAACCTAATGTGAATCTCTGGCACAAAGATTGCCTGGAGTCCAGGGTTGGGCAAAAGTGGCAGGCCCACTACCCTATCATGCTCGGTCCTTGACTAGGAGCTGCCCAGGGAGAGTGTGACTTTGCTTGAACAGGGCAGCAGGTCCAAAAGGGGCTGCAGCTGGAGGGTATCAGCCAACTGCACTCCTTGCTTCAGGTTCTCACTTGAAAGAAGATCTGAGTAGTACATCTCCATACCTGTCACAGTAAAGCTTTGTAATATTTTAATATAAATTTGACATGTTAAAGTTATTTGTAGGCCAAATTTACGTCTATTTTGCTATTGTGACTAGGATCCTTTCACTTGTCTTACAGCTTCTAACCAGTTATAGGTATATAAGAAAGATGTTGGCTTTTTTAAATATGTATTTTTTCTGTTTAGCTACCTTACTTTGAATTCTTACTAAATAGTTTTTTGGTTGTTTCTCTGCCAAGAATATCTGCAAATAATAAGGTCATCTGCAAATAACAACTTTATCATCTTTTCAAAAATAGTGCCTCTGTTAAAATTATATACATATAATGCTGACTGTTGGTCTGAAGTGATCAGTCTTTTTCTTCTTAAGAAATTATCTTATTTCCAATTTATCAAGAGATTTTTTTTTTAAAAAAACAGAAGTGGGAATTGCATCCAAATTGTATTTTATTGCTGAGATGTTAAAGATTGAAAATATTATAGACAGAAAGGGGGAATTTGCCTAAGAAAAATACACCTTGAATTGCTTCCACAGGCAATATTCAGATGAAAGCTAACAGACAAACAAAAAACTTGATAGGAAACTGAGTATATAATTTTGTTGGTCTTACTTCCTGGTTTCTTTTAGAGCTAGTGCTTAATTCTTAATTGTTCTTGCTTCCTCTCCTAAAATAATGTAGCAAATAATTAGTAGACTTTTTCTGTATTTCTACTTTTTACACTAAGGAATCCCCTGAATGAGTTTTTGTTCTTTACTTTGCCACCTACTTTGCCTACCCAGCAATATTTTCAAGAAAATCACGGTCTTATTCTATATAAA